GAACCCCGCATCGGGCTCCTTGCTCGGCGGGAAGCCTGCTTCTCCCTCTCCCACTCCCCCTGCTTGTGTTCCCTCTCTCACTATGTCTTTATCTGTCAGGTGAATAAATAAAATCTTTAAAAAAAAAAAAAAGTCACGTCCTCTGCCAACTGAGCCAGCTAGGTGCCCCTGCCTCCTTCTATCTTTGCCAGTCCCCCCCATGGGGTTTTTCTTTCTTTCTTTCTTTCTTTTTAAAGATTTTATTTATTTATTTGAGAGAGAGAATGAGAGAGAGCACATGAGAGAGGTTAGGGTCAGAGGGAGAAACAGACTCCCCGCCGAGCAGGGAGCCCGATGCGGGACTCGATTCAGGGACTCCAGGATCATGACCGGAGCTGAAGGCAGTCGCTCAACCAACCGAGCCACCCAGGCGCCCCCATGGGGCTTTTCTTGAGTGTTTGACCAGCTCCCCCAACCGCAGCTTCCCCGCCAGCTCCCAGGGGGCTCCTAGGCTCCGCCCCTCTGCAGGCCCCGCCCACACCCCACCTGCTGGCTAATCCTGGGCTCCGCTCTCCACGCATCACAACAGCGCCCTTGGGACCGCCTCCTGCAGTCCGGCCAGGGCCGAGCGTTGCCATGGGGACCACAAACAGCCTGGGCCAGTAGGAGAGAGGAGGACTTTCCCCAGAGGAAGCGGCCTCACCTGTGGAGACACTCACACGTGCCCAAGGAGCAGGTGAGCGGCTGAGGGGCTGCGACAGCACGAAAACAAGTCTTTCAGAGCCCCCCATAGCCCTCCTTGTTGGTTACTGAAGATTTGGGCTCTCCTTCCTGTCTCCTCACCCATGTCACCTTTCCAGATTCCTTCTGCTTCTCGTACCCAGGCCTCGCTGGTCCTTGACTCCTTGTCCCCGACACCAAAGTTGTTTCTTCCCCAATAGTCATTCCTTTCTTCTTCGTCAAAGTAATAACATGTTTTGGGCGTCTTGAGCAAAGCGCCTCAGGGGTGAGGCTCTTTCCCGTTGTCAGACATTGGATTGGAGGGGAGAGTCTGGCCCAATTCTGACCTGTAGGACTGGAGACCTGGGACTGGGTGTGTGTGGTCTGGGAGTGTTGTCTCTGGGAAGTGACGTGTGGAGCTGTGGTGCCCTCCGTGACCACCAGGAAGGAAGAGCCTCTTGGGGAGGTGGACTTTCAGTGGCTGAGAAGTTGAACTAACTGACTCCCCACAGGTGATACCCATTTCTAACCCCCTGTCACACCTCCAAGCTTTCCACTTTATCTCACCTTCCCTCTTCCTTGAAGCTCTTTTTCCACTTTGCTTGAGCTGACATTCCTTGGTCTTTTCTCAGTGGGCCCCCTGAACCTCACCTTCTCCACCAAGGATGGTGACAACGCCACAGGATTAGCCCTTGGATCTTTCCTCTTTTCTTCATCCTGCTAAATGAAGTTATTGAGGCTGTGGGTTCAAATCCTGTGGGCTGACTCTCCAAACCTCTGTCTCCAGTCCATTTTTCTGGACACAGGGCCCAAATAGCCAACTACCTTATATACATCTACATGTGGCTGTCTAATAACTCTCTCAAATTGAGCATGTTCAAAATAAAATTACTGATTATGCTTCAAAAAACATGAACATCCATTAGCATTCCCTATTTCCTCCAGCTTTACCTGGAGGACCAGGGCTATTTTCTCTCCCATCTCTTATCTGGTCCATGTCTAAATCTCATTGCTCCCCACTGCTCTAAACTACTGCAAGAGCCTAAGAAGGGATACCCCTGTTGTTTCCCTGGATTCCAATCAACTCTCTCTACTTTTTTAAAAAAAGATTTTATTTATTTATTTGACAGCGAGAGAGGGAACACAAGCAGGAGGAGTGCGAGAGGGAGAAGCAGGCTTCTGAGCAGGGAGCCTGATGTGGGGCCCAATCCCAGGACCCTGGGATCACGATGTGAGCCGAAGGCAGATGCTTGATGACTGAGCCACCCAGGCGCCCTCAGCAGGTTCTTTACACAGTTTCAGGATTTCTCAACGTGCTCTCTTCAGAAGCATAGAATTCTTACATGGCAACTGAGAACCCCAAAGCTGAGTGTTCCAAGAGACATAAAATCCTGAGCCCAAAGCTGGCCCAGTACTATTTCCTCTGTATTCTATTGGTCAGAGTGGCTAAAGAGCCTGCCCAAATTTAAGGGCAGAGGACAAAGACCTCACCTTTCTATGGGAGAAGTTCCAGAGAATTCATGGCCATCCTTCATCTGCCACAATGGAACAGCCAGATCCTCCCCTGAGACCCAGCCAAGGACTGATGAGTTGGGAGGGAAGGAGACCACCAGGCAGAAGTTATAGGGCAGGTAGAGGTTCTGCCAAGGTGGGGCTTCCTTCAGGGTCAAGAGCTTTAGTGTCTAGCTGAGGCTATTCCATGGCAGGTCTCTGTGCTCCCCCAGCCTGTTTTCCTTCTATAAAATAAGAGTTGATGATTTCCAGACTGTCCAGAACTGTCCAGCATCCCACACATTTTACCTCGCCTGTGGCTGTGAGATTTCCTGCCTCATGAGACAACAGTCATGGAAACCAACATGTCCTGGGGTAGGAACTGCCACTCTTCTGAATATTTGCCATCCACCTTCCTAAAGTCAATCTGTGCCCAGCCACAGGGATGAGATATGGTGTCATACAAAGCGGCCTCATTAAGCAGTAATCCTCAAATATAGTAGGGTACTATTTATGTAAATTATTTTAAAAAGCACAGTATATCTGTATCAACCAGAGTTCATGTCATCACAGCTGGTATTTATAATGACCTTCTTTATTACCCATTCTGCATTCCCTTTGCCTTTAGAAAGCACCTTAGCTGGTTGTGATTGTTTACCTGGTAGGGTGACCCAAATCTTCATTCCTGAATGGTCTGGGCCATCAGCAGTCGTGCCTGACTTGGCTGTTAGAGTTTTCCATTGATTTTAATCACAGGGCATGGTAGTATAAGAGACTCCCTAAGGGATCTTCTGTATTCCAGACATATTTCCTTACCTCCATTGTGTACGAGCAGCCCAGTTTGCCCTTGGTAATCAGGATCAATCACCTACATAACACAATGACTTCATTTGCTTGTTGGTTCAGAGGCATGAAGAGCCCGAAGTGGTCGGGTGGCAGTCTCAACTTCTAGTTCAATGGAATCATTATTGTGCCTCCAGGGGCAAGCATTCCTCCCTTTGGAACTAGGGCTTAGATCAGTGGAGCATAAGGCAGTGGGGGTGGGAAGAAAAATTTTTGCTAGTGGATCATGAGGGAGAATAGTGAGTGGAGCCACTTCCATTTCCACTTCTTGATTCCTGGACCTATGAATCCTGGCTATGGGGAAAATAGCACCATATATTGGATGCTGATTTCTGCATCCTGCAGGACACTGTGACAGTCCCTCAAGGTATTTCTACCTACCTGGCACCAAAACTGAGTCTTCGAAAGGCCCTTTCACCATTATGTCAAGCCACTGCCTTAGGATGATGGGAAACATGGTAAGATCAGTGGATTCCGTGAGCACAGGCCCATTTCTTCACTCCACTTGCTGTGAAGTGAGTTCTTTCACCAGAAGTGGTGCTGTGTAGAACACAAGATGGTAGATAAGGCATTCTGTAAGTCCACAGATGGTAGTTTTGGCAGAAACATCGTGGGCAGGAAAAGGGAGTCCATATCCAGAGTAAGCTTTTATTTCCATAAGACCAAAGTGCTTGCTGTCATTTCCATGATGGAAGCTGTCCAACAGAATCAACTTGGGAATAGTGCCATACTGGGGACTTAGTCTCTGCTGCTGGCAAGTGAGACAGTGGCTGTAGCCAGGTTGGCCTTGGTGAATGATCCCTGTTGCTGAGCCCATGCATAACCTCCATCCCTGTGATCAGGGCCACTTTGTTCGGATGATAAGCGCATCGGGTGATGAGTGGGGTGCCTGAGTAGTAACCATGGAGTGGATCATCCTAGGCACTTGATTATTACAATCCTCCTCTGCTGAGGTCACCCTTTGGTGAACATTCACACAGGACACAAATCATGTTTCTTAGCCCAGAGAGGTCTATCCATACACCTCTTCCCCAAAATTCACCATCACCAATTTTCCAATTATGTTCCTTCCAGATCCCTGGTAATCTAACCAAATACTGGCTACACCCCATGAATTGGCAGAGACTCATGCCTCTGGCCATCTCTCCTCCCGGGAAAAATAAACAGCCAGGTTTATTGTTATTCTCCAAGATCAGTCTGTCCCCTCACCAAATAGGTGAGTTGAGTGGGGATGCGGTGGAAGTCACCACCCCTGAATCCTTCAAGTCCCTGATGGTGGCAATAATCTCTGCAAACCTTCCAAGAATTACTGTTTTCCTAGGCAGAGGCAGTTCTAGTGGCTTCCATTTGGCCTTTCCTGCCATAATAGCCCTCACTCCACAGGTCAGGGAACCAATATGAGAATTCTGTCAGTTGCTGAGCATGTCTTTTCCAATTCTGGAACCGGACAAGTAACCACAGGGTGGCATCAGGGACCCACTGTGCCCACTGAGAGATGAACTGGAGCTAAAACTCCATGGATCACCTGTGCTCCATAAGCCCCTGCTCTGAACGGTGGGTTTCCAGGAATCAGTTCAGAGTCAGTGTCCAATAATCTCTGAAAGGTATAATTTCTTCTTTTTCTCCAACACACAGCAGTGACCCTGGCAAGTAGCTATTGGTCCCTTTGGGGAAGGCTAAGAGAAAGATTAACAAGATAAGTTTTTGGCAGTTTAGTGGCGTCCTTCCTCAAGGGGACCTGGTCTCCCCTTTATTTAAGAAGTTCTGGGTTTAGGGCACCTGGGTGGCTCAGTTGGTTAAGCGACTGCCTTC